AAACATGCTAAATTCTTTATTTGGTGAAGTCAGATATTCTGCTTTGAAATGATGAGTTACGTGCTGGAACTTCTGTCTTTGTTTTGGTTCTTGAATCCCGCCCACTGCCACTTTAGCCAATTATATTTCGGCACCCCAGGTTGCCTATTTCATTTATTCAATCAGAAAGGCTCTCAAAGTATGTGTCCATGACTGAAATGCACCATCCGGTGGACAGTAGCAGCTTCAGAAATGAGACGCAGATTCAGAGTTCCACTTGAGGTAGTTATTAACAAAATCTCTTTAAGGCAAGTCATTTCACGCGACAGCCATCTTTGAAACGCCTCTCGGACAAAATGCTCGAGCATTCTGTTTGAATGGGGAAACATCAAATTCTCCAAAACTACTTGTCAAGCTCACGATTACATTACATATTACGTATAACTAATGAAATTAAACAACGACTGTCTATTTAGTTTCATGTCTAAATGCTCGTATCACACAAAATTTGCAGAGACTCACATCTAGTCCGAGTCCTTCCCCCAAAGAATTGTCATTCTATAGCTCCCGCTGATTGGGCCCTGTACAAGGAGGCCGGCGTTATTTACAATATATCGGCCATATTGACAGTTACACTTTTCTCCATTTAAAAGTATACGAGTGATACGTCTTGTGTATTCTATAGTCTTTGTTGTTAATTATAGGGGTGTCAAAATTAATAGTTTTTTCGGTGCACCAAGATACAGACGCAGACAATTCGGTATCGGTTCAGTAATAATCATAATCGGTTATTATGTACTGACGTCATTTATCTCATATGTGCTCTGTCGCGAGGGAGGTGAGCGCTGGTATTTACAACACTCAGGAGCCAACTCAGGGCCGACCCGTGGCAAAGGCAGTATAGGCAAATGCTAAGGGCGCTGTACTTCCAGGGAGGCACCAGAAATGAGCGCGGTTAAGTTGGTTTTGTTTTCGATATTCCTGACACATTCAGTTTCAAACTCAAAAACCTCTTACCCTAAAAAGATCTAAAGTGTGTTTCCCACAAAAAGACAAAGCTGGTTATGTTTCACAGCTGTCTTTTTCTTTTTTTTTTTCGCTCTACATTACGACCACTGGTACTTTTAAGCCCTCGCAATATGCGTTTAGCCGAGAGAATTGCGTGGAGCGGAGTTCTCAGTAAGGAACGTCGGAAAAGTGCTTCTTTTTTTTTTTTTTTTCTCCGCCCAGCGTGAGCTCTCCCGGCTAAACGCATATTGCGAGGGCTTAAGTGTGTGTTTATGTGTTTGTGTTTGTGTGTGTGTGTGTGTGTGCATGTGTGTGTGTGTGTTTGTTTGGTGCTGTCTATGTTTGTGTATGTGTGTGAATAAGAGATACATATTTTTATACAGACAGCTTGTTATAGCCTCCCCCCAAAATAAAACACTGTGTATGGACAACGCACCGTGATGCACTTAGATATCGAATTGAATCGAATCGATGGCATGATAATCATAACGGAACCGTGAGACCAGAATAGGTTCACACCTCTAAATAATTAGCAAATAATATAAATATTACAAACGTAAACATTAGGTGAGCAGGTTACATTGTAACCCTGTGTCCCAACAACAGGCTACATGACGAGATTTGCTGTAATAAGCAATTGGGCTGTTTGCACCAGACGAAACAATCATTCAGAAGCACAGAATAGTGCACTCACTGCACTCCAGCAAAATGTTAAGATTTACAATCTAATTAATACATATTAAGCCTCTTTAACTTTATTAAACATACATGCTGAATCACTGATATGTGTTGGCTTGCACAATACTAAAGTTCCATTTTAAACGGTTTATTTTACTATCTATTATCCGCTGCTGCTGCTTTTAGAAGTATGGCAATAAATGTCATGTGAAATGGCGTTCAAACTCGCATTGTTAGCATTTAACACTGAATAAATGCACCTAAGGAGCCATTGTTTTTATATAGAACACAATTTAAATCAGCCTTGTGACCAAATATTGCTGTTAGATATACCAAAAAAAATTGGATTTCACATTTACCCACTATACAGACATACAGTAAAATCTAGTATAAGTGTCCGTCTGAAGGATGCTTTCAGTAGGAAACGAGGGCAACAGAGGGAAGTCCAATCTCCAAAACCATTGGAACACATTTTCAAGTAGATGCTATTCTTATAAATGAACCACATATATACAAATGAACCTCCTCCTCGAAATAAATAATCTCAATAAACAAATTATATGATCCAACAGCTGCAGAATTTGTCAAACTATAGCAAGAGGCTGGTGCAGTGCTGTTATCTCTAGACTATCATACAGCTCTCACCCAATCAGATTCAAGAACTATGTGTGTGCAAGTGTGTACATGCTTCCATGTGTGTTTGCAATGACTCATACAAGCCTATATGTTCTGTCCAGCGCACATACTTGGTGCAACAACTCACTGACTATCATTTCTTGTGAGCGGAGTGGAGGACGCATCCTCAATTTATGTCTGATTTGGCAGCAGTTCAGCAGTTCACTTCAATTTGTCCAAATGCAAGTGTTTATTATCCTTTTATTACCTTTTACCATGCATAGTTGAGAGCATGCTTGTATGTCTTCCCTCTGATCAAGCTGATTCTATTGGTCAGTGTAGGTTTTATTGTGTCCTTAAAATATGGTTCTTCAATGCAGATTGTGCAGATGTGGATTGCAAATGTCAACAGGAAAACAATACAATAATGAATGAAAACTAAAGAGACAACATATTTTTTTTTTAGTTGTGATGCAGTCCTGAAAAGCAAAACGGCCATTTTTTAGACAAAATGATTTTTTCTTTAAGACTTTTCGGTTTTAAACAATTTTAAAAAGAGGTTGTAGTTACAAAGCAAAGTGGGTAATGGAATTGGTTAATGGAATATTACATTTGTTCTGCATATTTGCTGTTTCAAAAAACCTAATTTTTAGTTTTTATGTAAGTATGTATGTATTTAAACTCACTGGCCACTTTATTAGGTACACCTTTGCAACTGCTTGTTAACGCAAATTTCTAATCAGCCAATCACATGGCAGCAACTCAATGCAATTAGACAAGTAGACATGGTCAAGACGATCTGCTGCAGTTCAAACCAATCAATCACAGACGGGCTGGTCTGAGTATTTCAGAAACTGCTGATCTACTTGGATTTTCATGCACAACCATCTCTAGGGATTACAGAGAATTGGCCAAAAAAGAGAAAATGTCCATTGAGCGGCAGTTCTGTGGGCGCAAATGCAAGAGGTCAGAAGAGAATGGCCAAACTACATAAATAACTATTTGTTGCAACCGAGGTAAGCAGAAGAGCATCTCTGGACGCACAACATGTCGAACCTTGAGGCAGATGGGCTACAGCAGCAGAAGACCACACCGGGTGCCACTCCTGTCAGCTAAGAACAGAAAACTGAGGCTACAATTCACAAAGGCTCACCAAAATTGGACAATTGTAGATTGGAAAAACGTTGCCTGGTCTGATGAGTCTCGATTTCACCAGTCTCGAGTCACCAGATCTCAATCCAATAGAGCACCTTTGGGATGTGGTGGACCGGGAGATTCGCATCATGGATGTGCAACAAACAAATCTGCAGCAACTGCGTGATGCTATCATGTCAATATGGACCAAAATCTCTGAGGAATATTTACAGTACCTTGTTGATTCTATGCCACAAAGGATTAAGGCAGTTCTGAAGGCAAAAGTGGGTCCAACCCGGTCCTAGTAATGTTTACCTAATAAAGTGGCCAGTGAGTGTTTATATGTATGTATGTATGTATCTATGTATATATGTCTGTACGTACGTATGTATGTATGTATGTATGTATTTATGTGTGTGTGTGTTTGTGTGTATATAATATAATATAATATAATATAATATAATATAATATAATATAATATAATATAATATAATATAACATAACATAATATAACATAATATAATATAATATAGTATAATATAATATAATATAATATAACATAATATAGTATAATATAATATAATATAACATAATATAACATAATATAATATAATATAGTATAATATAATATAATATAATATAATATAATATAATATAATATAATATAATATATTATAATATAATATAAACATAACATAACATAACATAACATAATATAATATAATATAATATAACATAACATAATATAATATAACATAACATAGTATAATATAATATAATATAATATAATATAATATAATATAATATAATATAATATAATATAATATAATATAACATAACATAATATAATATATTATAATATAATATAATATAATATAATATAATATAATATAATATAATATAATATAATATAATATAATATAATATAACATAAAATAACATAATATAATATAATATAATATAATATAATGTAATATAATATAATATAATATAATATAATATAATATAATATAATATAATATAATATAACATAACATAAAATAACATAATATAATATGATATAATATAATATAATATAATATAATATAATACAATACAATATTTAGTAAACTTATTTAACAATGTACAGTTATTTATTTATTTTTTGCTTTAAATTGCTTAAATAAACATTTTTAAAAGAAAAGTTTTTAAAAGAATATATACATTAAAATATTTGAATCATTATGTCAGCTTTACATACATAAAAACATCTCAGGAATCATGCACTGACACTTAAGTACTTGAGGAAATGCATTTGGCATTTGTGCTTCCAACAATTTATAACAAGAATTTACCAGAAGTCACTTCTTCCACTCTCCTCTGATGTTCTTGGGTAATTTATGTCAATAAAATGCAGTCAGAAATGATAATCAAGCACTTCCCGTCTCTTATATAAGGATATTCATTAGGTGCATTCTGACAGAGAGCTCCACTCGTGAAAAACATGGAGAAATACCTTCAGCAATAACCATCCATCTATTCACAAACAAAACAGAAATGTTCATGACAACGCATTTAAGACGGAAAACAAGAAGCATAGCCCTCACCTCATCTTCAGGTTGCCTGGCTGTGGTTGTCCATCATAGATGGAGACGATGTCAAAGTCCTCCTCCAGAGCGAAGGTGTGGAAGTACAACTGTATCCTATTCCGCTCTCCAGTGACTATGATCCATGTACAGTTGGCATAGTTGGGGTAGCCATGGGGAAAGCCAGGACTCTCTATAGTTCCATTGAGACCTTGTATAAGGCCGCCACAAGTCTGACCTAAGGACATAAAAACAGGAAGTGTTTTAAATTTACAATCTATTTTGAATTAAGTTAAAAAGTGACCCATATTATTTTACTGAAACAGTCACCGGTAGAATTAAAATGATAATCAATGATAGACAGTCATGCTCATTCCCTTTACAATTGTAAATGTTTCAATTTTCAATAGCGCTATACACAAAAACTATTGTTTCAAATCAGCTTTACAAAGATGCATGTTATGGCATTACCATCAAATTTGGAAAAGTTGAGGTTATTAGCAGCGTTGGGCAAGCTACTTGAAAAATGTAGTGAGCTAAGCTATTAGCTACTCTACTTAAAATGTAGCTTAACTACACTAAAAGATACCCCCTAGGAAATTTTGTTACATTTAAGCTATTTTTTTAATTTTCCATTTAAAATCGAAGCAACTCAAATCCAAGTCAATCATATCTTAGTGGTCTATAATGCTGTGTTCACACCAGACGCGGAACGCGCGGATAAATCGCGCTATTCGCGCGTAAATAGCCTCGTGAACATTTGAGTTTACTCGCTTCATATGCGCGTCAAACCCCGCTTCATTCGTGTGTCAAATTCACATCAGAACAGACGTGGATTCGCGTTATGGGCAGGGCTTCTGTCTGCCCGAAGACTCTAGCTTCATAGCTAAATGGCTAACATGGATTTTATGAAGAAAATAACAGTGTTTATGTGCTTTATGATGACTGAAAAACAGCGTCGATACGTTTAGGGTCGTGTCTGAGTCCACTACATTCTTTCAGAGGTGCATCCAGCTCTGTGAGCTCATAAACTCCTCCAAAAACTTAACCTGGATGACGGAGGCTTTCAGCGGTGCTTCTGACTGAGCCAAGCCGAGTTTGATGAACTGTTGTCGGTGAAGGCTGGAGGATTTCCCTCGGAACACCGACAACAGGTTCTACGTCACAATCACACCCCCACAAGAGCAAGCTTCTGATTGGTTAACGTGGCGCGAATGTACGCTGAAGTTCAGATTTTCGAAATCGAGAAATTCGTGCGAAACGCTCGTTAAGCGCATCAAACGCGCGTCAATTCGCCCCGCGCAATTTGCGTCATTTGCGCCGCACCATTCGCGCGTAGCGCGCCGCAGGATGTCTATTCACACGTTTGCATTGACTTAACATGTAAATCACTCGCGCTTGACGCGCATTTCGCGTCTGGTGTGAACGCAGCATAAAACTGTCAATGACTACGTTTACATGGACACCAATAATTCGAGTTTAATGCGATAAAGACAATACTCTGATTAAGAGTTAACCATGTGAACAGCTATTATTGATTAATTTAATCAGATTAAGGTCATAATCGAACAATCGAACATAATCGAAGAGAAATCGAATTAAGACATGTGAAGTAGTCGCATTATTGAAGTGCAGTACAGACATGTAAACACCTTAATCGAATTACTACCACCATGTAGGACTTTTTGTAGCATTTGCGACAGGATAGTCCACACACACACACACACACACACACAAATACACACACACACACACCCAGTCAGTGCAGACGACAAACACCTGCATCGAGAAATGCAAAATTTTCCATTCAGCATGCGGTATAAACTTCCATTAAAACAACACTCTTCCAGCAGTTCATAGTTGCATCCAATAACTGGTTTGTCACGGAGGGCGTGCATGAAATGTTCGTGAATGAACGTGAAAGTGACAAACTGCAGTTAATGTCGACAAATTAAAAATGAAACACCCGAAATAACATGAAACTCCAGAGGAAATGAGGATAACGCGGTGACCAGTGACGTTAATCGAATTAGGGCATGTAAAATGGGATCATTAACGTAACACTCAAAAAGCAACTCATGTAAACACCTTAGTCTTATTATTATCCTAATTGGATTAAAGCAAATAATTCGATTACAGATGTCCATGTAAACGTAGTCAATGAAACATGAAGCAAAATTCAGTTCAGTTCAGTTATTTACTGCACATTATATGCTGTACTAAACCGAAACAAGTGATAGTGTATGACAGCAAACATGAAAAGTCTAATAAAACTAGGGGTCACACATTTAAAATACTATAGTAATTTATAGTAAAGGGAAATATTTAGGAATAAGCATTATATATATATAAGTAGAAGTATAAATCAGCCTTAAGGGTGGAAGGAGGACACTTCAAGACAAAGACAAGAAGAAACTCTGAATATAAACATCTGTTAAGAAACTTTAATTATTTATGGTGTGTTAGGAATCATCTGATAGGTGAATCATGTGTTAGCTAAAGCGGGACCAGCCATGGTCAATCATAAGCATGTGATCCTCTCGAAATTAGTGAATAAATAAACTTCTCAAGGTGTATGTGTTGTCCGCGAAGTCCTCGATGGTTGGCATTATGTCGACACAGAATGATGTGCTTGCCTACACTTCAAAACAATATCTTTTTTATGTTAATTGTTATTGTAAAAATTAATATTTTCCCCTTGATTGTATTTAGCTGAGCTATGCTAAAAGCCACTGCGAATTACCATAGGATCTTACACCAAGGGCCTCATTACCTCAGTGCTGTATTTGCCACTGAATCTGCATTTTGCTGTTGTTTGTTTTGTTTTATTGTTTTTTATTTTGTCTTATGTAAACTCTTCTTATGCAGCAAAAATAATAACTTGGGTGTGTTTGTTTGCAAAGGCATATATTGTATGAGGTAAGGCATACTTATACATTCATCAAGTTCTACATTTAGTCATTCTTATTATAGGTGAAGTCCCACTAAACAGTCTCGTTTAAACTTTAAGAGTACTCTACGGAGAGATAAGCAGGTGTGCAGTGTGTGTGATTCATTTTCAGTGGAGAAAGGGAGAGGTGTAGATTCACACACATAATCCGTCATAGAAATTAGCAACAGAGATGGAAAATGGAGCTGCATTTAGCGTTTTATCACTTCATTTATTTTTCTTTTTAGATTTTTCTCATTGGTACCATACACTTTTAGTGTTTTAGACAACCCAGGCTCATTCTGAAAGCGTAGTCCCGTGGACCTTTCTGGAGGCTGCGAATTATGTAGCCAGAGGTACGTATGGCTGCATTTAATTTTTTAAACGAACGCTATGACTTCGCGAAAACAAACACTGCAAAAACACATACCTCCCGGGACGTATTTCGCGGTTTCCACAAAGGTCCAAAGGACTACGTGTTTAGAATGAGACTGGGTTGGTTTTAGATCAAATAATTAGTGTGGCATTTATCTTGCTGTGAATACTTTATGTTGCTGTTTTTTAGATTTTCTCAACATTTATTAAGACATTCTTATTTTTAAATCATAAGAAGTGATTTTGTTTTATTCAGTTTTGCTACAGGGAATAACAGCAAGGTATATTGGTGTTATTATTTTGTTATGTTTTTATATTGATGTGTTTTTATATTGTTTCATATTGTTGTTGTGTTTATTTATATTTATATAGTGTCTAAAGCGCTTCACAATCATGAGGGGGGGTTTATCCACACCACCACCAGTGTGCAGCATCGCCTTGGATGATGCGACGGCAGCCACAGGTCAGTGGTGCCAGTGCACTCACTACAAACCAGCTATTGGTGGACTGAGAAACATAGATACAATCAATTTGGTGGATGGGGATGATTAGGAGGCCATGATCGATATTTGGCCAGGACAACAGGGTTACACCCCTACTCTTTACAAGAATTGCCATGGGACTTTTAAAGACCACATCGAGTCAGGACCTCGCTTAAATGTCTCATCTGAAAGATGGCGCTCACTGACAGTACAGTGTGCCCTTCACTATACTGGGGCATTAGGACCAAATTAGGACCAAATTAGGACTAAGACTCAAACAGACCAAAGGTTCAGTGTCTCACTAACACCGATTCCAACAGCAACTTAGTTTTCGCATATGATCGTCCATCCAGGTAATGACCAGGCGTAGCCCTGCTTAGCTTCAGTGAGTAACCTGTCTTGGGCTGCAGGTTGATATGGCTGTGGCTTGCTCTAATACATAAAATAAGTAAGCTGAATTCTTATGGTAAGAAAACTTTAGTGAAGTTAGTCTAGAAGTTAGTCTACAGTTTCTCAGTAGTAATATTAACTCACTGTCCTTTTAAGATTCATATCCCAAGGATCTGTCTAGAGATTATACCAACTATAAACAAAACATTGTAAGTTTTCTGAGCACAAACTTAGTTTCCCACCTTCCTGGGTGTTCGGCCATGCTCTCCCCTCCACAGTTGCCCAAAAACATTGCTCAAAAAGTTGCCCTGTGTATCATCAGTATAAGATTTGTTGAGCAACGCCATCTACAAGAACATCAAATTTGTTTGTTGAGACTTCTGTGTATGCTTTCCCCTTCTTGTTTGCATACACACTTAGTCCATCAGTTTCTGGAAAACACGTCCCTAGCTGGCGCTGCAGAGAGAGGTTGTTCAGTTTCCCTGTGGATGCACAGCAGTTAGTAGACTCTGTTTTTGTTACTTGCCGAAACCTCTTCAACAGGGGGTCCTCATGATTGCTTTGATGTTTTAAACCGAGCTTGCAATCATGCACGCAGTGTCCTTCTTCACTGCAATTCCTGCATCTTCCTTCAGTCCTTAATTTTGACTATCTCAGACATTCATTTTCTTTAAGCTCATTCCAAACTCTCCTTATCATTCAACAAAGTTGTTGATTGCCAAGCTTTTAGTTTAGCACCTGAGTTTAATATCATTCAGCAAAGGTTTTGATTGCAAGTATCATGTGCTGTCTCTAGTTTAGCTGACCATTTAACAATCTAGAGCAGTTAATGGTTTGCCTATGCTGTCCCATTCATCATAGTGATTTTGAGATCTTTAGAAATCTCAGGTTTGTGTACATTGACAAATGCTGTTTTTAAGGGAATTCCAGTGTCTTTGTCAATAACTTCACTTACATTCAAACTAGAATATTCCACCCATGTTTGTCTGAAGCATTCTTCAAACTCTGCAACACTGTCTCCAGTTCTATGCATGTATTAGGTCATTATTGCCCAATTGACAT